ATATTATCCACCTTGTTTATTCGTCTTCTTCATAATATTTTCCTTAAAATAAAAGTCTTGTATATTTTTTCGCAAGCTTTGAGGCAACGAAAACTGAAAGTGTAACAGATTTTTGCATTTGGCTGATCATTGCCAACCAAAACATCACGATTGTGATCCTTGAACTGAGAAACTACTGGTAATGATATCTGGGGAAGGGGGATGGGGTAAAGCTGAACACCCACAATTGCCAAAAACAGCTCCTGCAACTACGGGTTCTAACTTAGTGCCGATTGATAGGTCAAATCGCACCTTGTTGAACGGGAATTTGCATGCGTCATTATTTTGTCAACTTGTTTACGATACATTGATCCCTAACACAAACAACCAAAGCTCACACGATAGCAGAACTCTTGAGAGAACTCAATCGATTCAGTACATTTGAGATAGGAAACAGAATTGTACATGTACACCCTTGGGCAAAGTTAAGGTTACCACTACTTCAGTTGAAAAATGAATTTGAGCCAAACCCTTGGCACGTTTCCAAGGATTACACTTTCATTCATTATTAAATGCGAGTCCCCAGTGACTTTGAACTATTTTGTGTTAGGAAGCCTCCAGGAGTGCATGACCATGAGAAACGAAACACGTGACGTTTCAAACGAAACTCAACGTATCATTATTTGATACCGTGCCTTCAAGTCAGCAAAACTTGATGTAGGGGCAGCGGGTTAATAAGCAAAGGATCACTTGTGGGTTATATGTCGGTTTACAGACACAACTCAGCACAAATACACAGGCATTTTGTATAATGAAATTTATTAGGAAGTCAATCAAGTGCAGTCCGACCCCAACAATACAGAAGCAGACATATCGCCTATTATAACTAGGTGACTGAAAACAGCACCTTATCATTTCCATTACATTTTGAGTACACTTGAGTGCTAACATTTGTAAGTAAATACCTTCTGTGATGCCCCTGAATAATAAAAGAAATGTTATGATGTAAACAAGATAAATCAGACATCATCTAATTGGTGTGTGGGTCTCCCTGCAGTTCAGGAGCAATGAGATCCTCCGTTCCTTCTTTGCAGAACTGTCGTATCTCATTGAAAAGGTACATTTGCCATTGATGAT